TATTACCCTCAGGGGTTTTCAGTGGATATTCACTTCTCTTCAGTGGCATATTTCTTGTCCTTTTTATTTGGTTGATCTGCTCATAGACTTCAGTGCTGTAAGTATTTGCAGTGACTATCCTATAGACTCAGGGTTGGTGGGTCCTGTTTTTGTAGGTTTACAGATCTTTGCCCTCCAGTTGTGGAGTTCTGTCAGAGAGCCTTACCATTCAGTTTTTCCTCTCCTACTCTTTTATTACCTGTTTCCATTACTTTCCCTTCTCCAAGGGACCTTGAGTTTTGCCAACATCCATGGCAGTGTTATACCTGGCTCAAGACTATTGGACAGGTTTCTCATCCCTTTCCAGGATTTAATCCCATCTTTTTGTGGTTCCAGAGGAACCCATAGCTAGGCATCTGGTCCTAGTCATTTTCTGTCTCAGTCAGTTTCTCAACCTCCCCCGATTTATCATGGGGAATTTTCTCACCCTACTGTGGTCTTTTGTCCCATGTCATGATCAAGGTGGGCTTCTCAGATGATTTTTTTCTCATTTGGCTCTGTCCAAACAAACCTTCTACACCAATCCTCTTCTACTTCAAGAGGTGGCAAGTCTTGGTTGGTTGGTCAACTTGCAGAAGTCACTTCTCACACCAATTTCATATCTCATTTATTTGGGTGTTTTTCAGTTTTCATCTCCACAGGGTCCAGCCTAGGGATGTGGAATGATTTGTCCTTTCTCATTGTCTTGAGTCATGCTTATATACTAGGTCTACGATGGACTCTCCGTGACCACTGGTTACTTGAGTTCCCTTGTCCTTCACCATTTTCCTTCCTTATCCAAAGCCTTCCCCTGATGACTCGATATATCCAATACCATAGAAGGTGTTCCTCTTGTCTGAGTCTCCATATATTTCCAGATGCCTCCTTGACAAGATGTGGGGGCATGTCTTGACTCTCCAGTGATTGGGGGTCAGTAGTAAATTGAATTTTCTCTTCTTCACTTCCTTGACCTCGGTCATGCTCCATACTCCTTCAACTTTATTTCTCTTTTTCTCTATCCAGCAGGGTAATCACTCTAGCTTCACCTGTGGGTTTTGTTCAGTCCATTGCAAGATATTCCAGGCACTCTTCACATATAGCCTTCCTTCTTTCTCGTTCCATTCGTTATTCCCCCCTCTTTGTCTATCTATGAAAATAGCACACATTCTATAGTTGGTTTCTGATTCTTGCTTTTTCCCCTTTCCTGTCCTTCTTTCTCCTATCTTTCTAAAATTTTACAAGACTGTTTGCCCATGCCTTATTACTTTTGACCATTGCTGGCCACAGAGCAGCTCTACCTATAAAATGAACTTGCCGCTACAATCAGGGCTCAACAATAAAAAAACAATTTATTCAACAATAACACTTGCCAGTATACAGTTAATATACATGTGCCTGGCTAGGACTTCACACCAATATTATTAAACAGTACTAATGATACCTTTACTCGAAGTTTTTAGTTGAAGTATTGGATTATTTCTCTTGATTTGTTGCCATATATTTTCATATAGTACTGAATAAGCCAATCTAGTATCTATGCAACCTACTGCTTTCACACCATTAATTTTTTAGGGTTTGGTGTGGAAGATTTGTTTTAATTGTTAAATATTGAATGGAGGGAATGTCCTTTGAGGAGAAGATAGAAGTAAGTCATCAGCAGGATCCGTTGAAGAATGAAAAGTGGAGACACCAGCAGAAGCCCCTTTTCTTATGGGGGAACGACTGTCAAGTCTTTTGTTGTCAACATTTTTATTTTATTGTAACTTCCTAGGATGATTACTATTTTCTTCACTGTTGAGATAATTGTCACTAGGGAGCTATATATATTTTTTTAATATTAGAAATATGAAATCATCCTATAACTGCACCTGATCTAAGATCTTTTAATTCATACACTAATGGAATAACACACTTCATAATTTTGAAAGGTCCATTCCACCTCGGAACAAATTTTACAGTAAAATCATTTACTGCAGAAGACAAAGGATGTATCCTTAATAATACTAAATCACCTACTTTAAATGTGTCTAGGCATCTCTTACAGTTATAGACTTGTCGCTGTCACTTCTGAGCCTTTTCAATGTTAGATCTGACCTTCTGTATGACATCTTGTAATTCTGCTGTTCATTCATCAACAGTTTGAGGTGCTGTTGGGTATTTCATCAGTTTGTCCCAAGGAAGGGAGATCCCACGTTCCAAGTGAAGTTTGACTGGTGTGTAACATGTATTTCCCTAATGCCATATCTAGACATCCTATTAACACACCAGAAGAAATTCCAGATTTGGATATCAGTAAACTATCACCTAAGCACATATACTCTTATTTGAAAACTGGACTATTACCAGATGATTCTACTGTAATTGCAGAGACTGTTGGTAGAGCCAAACACCATGTCTTAAATGATAATGTTTTTATTACACAAAAAAGGATGCTAGCAATGGTAAATTTAGACCAGTTATTCTCAAAACATTGAGACTGGTGATGTTGATCAAATTGCATGATCATCATATAGCTGGTTATATAGGTGTCTCAAAAACAATATACAACAAAGTATCTAAATATGGCTTTTGGCCTGGTATTACAAAAGGACACTAAAAATTAAGTGTTGTCATGTCATGTTTGTCAAACTACTAAATTTGATCAGAAGAGGCAAGCTGAGTTTATGCAAATCACTAAACTAATGGAATCTGGTGAGATATTAGACACAGACATCATGGGATCTTATCCTAAGTCTAGTACAAGAAATAGATATTTGTTGGTGTGATAGACTGATAATGGCCCACAATTTGTGTCTCATTTGATGGATGCAACTTGTAAAGCTATGGAAATTAACACATTAAGGAGTGTGAGATAGCAAATTCTGTTTTTTTTTTATTATTATTTACTTCTATTGTTTAATTTATCTATGAATTTTTAGTTGTATTAAAATGTTAACTCACCTTCTAGCTAATCATTTGTATTTTGAATAAATATATGTATACGATGAAACTGACACCAGCTTCTTTAGCCGTGACATACAGATACTATTAGTGTAGCAGAGGAGTCTGTAAATTTATGATCACATGAGGTTTTACTCTCGTGACATACTCTGTGAATAAATACCCTTCCAGAAGCTTCACTTAGAGAGAGAGAGAGAGTCACAAGATAGTTATTGAAAGATATAGTTGTCACTTATTGTTATTAAAAGGTATGTTTGGAATATTGTATTTGCTGTATTTTTGTTTGGAATTAGTTTTTTCTTTCTGGTTCTTTTCCTTTTCTGTGCAGTATTTCAAATGTTAATTCTTGTAATTTTAGTGACCAACACACCAGTCTACCAGTGAACTTCAGAGCTGTTTTTAACCATTTCAAGGCAATGTGGTCAATTATGACTGTAAATTCTTCTACATCTAGATATATCTTAAATTTTTTCTATATCCCAAATTATGACTAGACATTCTAACTCTGTAGTAGTATATTTTCATTCTTCAGAGTTAAGTGTTCTACTGGCATATGCTATGATACCATTCTGATACAGAACTGCTCCTAATCCAACATTTGAAGCATCAGTATAGAACAAATAGTGTTCACCTTTTTTTTGGAAGTGGTAAGACAGGAGATTCACATAAAGCTTGCTTTAATTTCTGGAATGCATCCTCACACTGGAAGGTTCCTTTCCATCTGATAAATTTTCTTTGTAACTGATGTAAAGGTTCAGCAATTGTAGCAAAGTTTGGAATGAACAGATTGTACCACTCACACATACCCAAGATTGTGCTTAAATCTTTGCAATTGCTTGGAGTTGGGAAGTCTGAAATGGATGTGGTCTCTCACTGAGTGATGCTGCCACTAGGTGTCCTAGTGAGAGACACATTACATGAGTTTTCCCCTTTCTGTTGCTATATTTTTTGAAAGGAACTCTATTTTTAGTTTATTTCTTTACACCAATCCCTCAACCATCTTCTCATTATAGGATGCTAGCTATCTGTTTTATAGAAGGGTGAATAAAATAGTCTCAATTTAACTTTTCCATACCTGAAAATATTTTTCAGATAGATACTCACCTCTGCATAGAACAACCCACCGTACTTCCTGTTTCTTGTGTATCTATTTGCCTCATCAAGAATGAGATTTTGGTTTACACAAGGAGTATTTGTCACACTTGTAATGGTAATTGCATCATATATTTGTGCAATTCATGTTATTTCATGTAGTGGTGAGAAAGTTTGTTGAAGGCTTGGCACATGCACAAGACAATTTTACCATTAGTACTGATATGCTAGCTCTTTATTATGTGGAGAGGTGAGTATATATTGAAATACATTTTCAGGGAAGAAAAATGTCAATTGTTAGTGTTACTATGAATTTATCATATGTTCTCTAAGATTTCAGTTTCTATTTTTTGTTCAAGCAAAGTGATATATATATATATATTTTTTTTTTTCTATTGCTTTTATTTTTTACAGTGTGAACAGTTAATGCTAACAATTTAACTCTTAGACATCTAAATTAAAAGAAGAAAACATTTCAAATCTTCTTTCATTTGTACCTTTACACTGTGCCTAAATTAGTGTGTATTTTGCACAGATAATTTATGATAATTTTTTTATTGATGTTTGTTCTTTAAACTTTTTGTGTGCTTATGCATTGCATATTTCATATTTATTTTTATCAGACATATATTTACCAGCAATTTGATTTAATAGTTTTATCATACTTTTTTTCTGAAGTTTTATGTTTTTTATAAATAGTTATTAATTTATAACAGGATATGCTGATAATAATATTCTGTTTTGGGAATGTCATATGTCATCACTTGCATTATATGTAATTACTTATGAGCTTGAAAATTATACATTTTTCGTGTGGACTTTTATGTTCTAAAATGTTTGTATTTCATTTTTTACCATTAATATTTAAAATATTTGTATAAAAAGGGTTTCACGACAAAATATTAAGTACGCTTTAGTGCAGTAATTTTCTTACTTTTTTTTAAAATTAGGCCTTCAACACCTGACTGTTCTCAGCTGACATTAGGTGAGAGTGACTGGTTGAATGGATTAGATGGAAAGAATGACCAAGGAGTTTTGCTTGCTGCTGGACTTGAAGATAATACAGTTTATCTCATCAAATGGTTACCAAGAAAGAAATTATCTACAAGTTCAGATATCTCGTAAGAGTCCTCTGTGAGGATGAAGACTGGTGTAACCAGTGCTGTGCTGTTGTGTTTATATATTATGGATGTATACCTGTTTATAATACATATTTCATATGTGTGCTGTTGAGAAATTGCATAGTTGAGTTTAGTACCTTATAAATTGTAATTTTGCATATTTTTAGATTATTTTTATAGCTGAACTTTCGCCTCCACTAAATCTATTTCAATGATGTAACATTTGTTTTGTGTGTTATCAGTGGTTAGTCTTATTTTAGAATTTTGTATTAAGTATAAAATGGCTGAATTAGTATATTTAACTACCAGTTTTTAACAAAACAGTGGATCTTCCCAAGGGTTAAAGTAAGTTTTCAGAAGGTATGCATTCCATAAGATCTGGGATGTATATTCCTTGCATAAGTGTTTTTAATTTTTTTCTAAAGGCTCTTGAAAATTGGATTGGAATGTATCATAAATTACTTAGGAAATTAAAAATGTAGTGATATAATAGAAAACCATATATATTTTTTTTACATAAATATGTCTTGAAACACACTGAAACATCTACGTATTCTTATTTCATATGGTCTTTTAATATTTTATAAACAGAAATTAACAAATTTCTGATACATTAGTATTGTAATTCTAGAAGTTAATGGTAGTGTTTAATTTGGTGAAGGGCTACATTGTACAGAATTACCAAGACACTTTTTATTTGAATAAGCTAAAACTTTACATATGTGTAAATCACTAACTTGTTTCACATCTTTCTATATTGCCTGTTGACTTAAATTATCTTTCATAGTTTAAGGTTTGCTTTTAACCAAAGACTAGTAGAGGTCTTAGGGAAGTATTTGATTTTGGAAAGTTTCTATAATATTTCATTTTCAGACTAGAACTACATGTACTTTGTTCTCATTGTAAGGATGATTTATTTTTAGTGGGGGGACATAGTAAACTATCAAATTTTAAAGATAATTTCAGACAGTTAGTTTGTCCTTATACATATTCAAACTGAAGAACTTTGAAATAACAATGTCACTGTTTACCAATAATTTAGCTTTAGAGCCAAGCAGTAAAATAGGCCTGTTTCTTAATGATATCCAAGTAGAATAGTTTGCTCCAATTTGAATCATGTTAGACCAATGTTATGCTTACCTAACATGCCTGTTTTAGATTTTACCAGCATGAACATCATAGTTAATCAACTGTGTTTTCCTCTATTGTAGATTAATTTGTATTTGCATCTGGGTAAAAATAAACTGTTTCATTGAGAAATTCAACTAATACTGCACACGTAGCATCATTATCATTTGAAACTCAATTTGTTTGTTCTTATATTTGTCATTGGTCTTTTGGCTATCAGTGTAGAACTTTATTTGTTGAGAGTAGTAGTAGAGGAGTTGTCAGTCACATATGCATCTTTCATAATATAATTTTTCCAGTACTGCTCCTCCTTCCCCCAAATAATATTTTGTATAAAATGCTGAACTCATGAGTGTGCTGTTATTTGAAAAGGTTCACTATTAGTCTATGGTAAGCTTCAGAGCTTATAACCCAAAAAATTGTGTTTGAATACCTGTGGTGGGCAAAGTGCAGATAGCCAGTTGTGTATAGCCTTGCATTTAATCACAAACAAAGGATTTTTCTCATATTCAAGATATAACATTATTAATATCATAGTTATGGATATTATATGTGAGTAAAACACTTCATACAAATGTTAAGAAATTTTATTCCTAACTGCAGTTCTTTCAGTATGATTACAGTTTTATCTGACAGCTGTCTGATTACAAGACCCACTGAATTAGTTGGGTATCTCAGCAATTTTCTGCTAGTTTGGTTGTATGTTTATTGTAAAAGATTTTTACTGGTCTTTTCTGTGATATAAATGCTAAAGTTCTGAATGAATTAGTAGATTATTTTATCATATTGTTACTTATGTAATATTTTAATTTTGGTTTCATGCTTATAATCAGATTAATTTGGTTGGTTTATAATTTCTGTTTACACATACCTGATTTTGTATTTTTGTCTTTGAGCACTGAATTATGTCTAAAATTAAAATTCTGAAGTTGAACATTCTGGAAGCATCCAAAAAAAGTTATAAACTGTTGGAGCATTAACCCTTTAATGGGTAAAAAAAAAAAGCTGAAAAAAGTTTTAGAAATTGAACTAAGTGGCTTTGGGTAAATTAAATCAGGAAAACACATAATTGGCATTATTTTATATTGTCTTTTATTTATACATCTTTTTTTTAAGGTATGGCAAATATAGCTACAATCTGGTGGCAACTGTATGGCCTTAAACTTTTGAAGGGGTTTAACATATCAGTTGTTTCTTTAGCAAATGCTCATCTTTTCAAACATTGGCTTGAAGTTTACACAAAGAAGTGGTGTTCATGTTTACACTACAGTAGTTTTAAGTTTTATATACAAAAGGAATTCTACAATGGATATTTTTTGTTTTACTGATTGTAATTTTGTATAGTGTGTAATTGCATATTTAATCTCATTGGCTTTCTTAACAAGTTAGGAAATCTTACATGGATATTGAAATTACTAGAAGGTTTTGAATATTCAAAATGAGATTACATATCCCATTTTCAGTTATTAATGCTTATATTTTATTACACTAACACTTTAAATTAATTTGTGATTTTTGCATAATTGAGAATTTGAATACTTTGTTTCTCAATGTATTGCATCTAAGGTTATCAAATATCAATACATTTTTAGATTAAAGATTTTGTATAAGTATTAGTAAGACTGATATAAATTCTAGCATAGAAGTTCTTGAGTTCTCTATAGTTCAGTATGTTTTTAGACATTAAATAATACTTGGATTAGAAAGTAAACTGGGTGATAAATGTTGCATTTTAAAAATATGGTGATAAACTAGTACATGACTGATGTTTTGTTTTCATAAGCCTTGTGATAACAAAGCAGTTACTGGTTTCTGACTAATAATATTACCCTGTGAACATGGTATTAAACTAGTTAACAATACCCGAATGTTGCTGTATAATAGTAAATATGAAGACAACAACCATTTACTAATTTCAGAAAGTTTGATGATAAATAAACTAAATATAAGTTAATTACTGTTAGAAGATGAAATTCTCAAACAGTAATGAATTGCTAATGTTTTATACCATTAAACATACAGTAATAAACCAGTTACAGATTACTAATAAGATGATAAACCAATTTCTAATTACTTACTGTTATATTCTACCAGTCTTATAGCACTAGGCAATAAGCATTTATCACTTACCAGATATAGAATGTCTATTAGGATGTTTGTGATGTATCCATGTGATGTTGGTAACTCATATTTAACTACTGTGGTTTTGTGTAGATAAGATGTTGAATCCGTCATCTATACATAATAATTATACGGTGCAATGAACTTTGCAAGATTATTGCTGGCTATTGTTAAGGTGAAACAGATGTATATGATAATTTATGGTTTAGTACTTTCAAATTATTATAATTTCATTACAATATTCTATATGAGGGTGCCAAATGTGCAACTGAATGAAAAACATTAAAGCACATATGCACAAATGCTCCATTTATATGTGAATATAGCAGCAAAATTGCAAATACATTTTGTTAACCCTGTTGCGATTCTAACAATTACAAAATGCTTGCTATGTAAGTGCTATTGTTGGACTTCAATTTTACATGCATAATTACATAGATATTTCTTTTGCTAGTATAGCTTGAGTATATGAGTACAACTATTGAGTATTTTATTTACAATTGTTTTATTAACACTAATTTTTGCCAGTGAGAATAAAACTAGTTTTATGTATAGACAGGAATATGGTTGGTTTCTCACTACTTTGAAGTTAAGGTATCTAAGTTGGTACAATATTTAGTTTGATTGAAACCACTATTTTTGATTACATGTTCATAAGTTGTGCATTGTATTTTTTCTATGATATGAAGATTAACATAAAAAATAACCCACAATATTTAAGACCTAAAACTTACATGAGTATTCATAAGTAGAAAACTGCAGCATAAGCAACATAACTTTACATATATACCATATCGTATTATACATGTAGGGTGTCCAGAAAATATGCTTCTACTTTGATCATATCATGGAAACAGGTTGGCTTGTCGAACAGCCATATTCATGTACCTGATATGTCTTGACATTGTACATGTCATAAACTTAATAATCCATTAGAACATGTGCTTTGTCAATTCCAGTATTATGGCAGCTGTAACATTCAAAAAGTGAATATAATCTATATATTATATAGAGCTTTCAAGAAGTCCGTGAGTTACTGAATGTTTTAACAACTCGTAACAACATTTGCTCACTCAGTTCTAGTATTATGGCAGCTATAACACTTCAGAAATGAATACAATCTATGTCATTATAAAGGGCTCTCAAGAAATCCATGAGCTACTGAATGTCATCTAGGAATATAGCTTGGTGATTAGTAGAACTTACTAATCAGTTAACCTACAGACTCATTAATTAGTTACATTTAATTACTCAGTTATTACATCATCAAAACAAAAAAACTTGTACAGTTAATAATCTGGTTTTTTGATATCCGAGTTGCGTAGAGCATAGATATTCCCTCAGGTAGATTTGTGCTTAACAACAAACACAATGGTAATTTATTATTACTTGGATAGATGGAATAATCAAAATATTAATATTTGGATACCGTACTTTCTGTTAGTTGATTACTTTTGTGAATCACAACACCAAGCTTAATTAACTTGAATTAATCAAAAATAACAAAAAAAAATCATAATATCCATACTTTGATTGCTGGATAGTTTGAATAATCAAAAACTAATTTTGATTAGTTGATTATTTTTGTGCCATTAATCAGTTTAAACGTAATTTCAATTAATGGACTGTTGAAACAATCAAAAACACAAATTTCAATTGATTATTTTTGTGACAAGTAATTTATTCAAAAACAGTAGTAAGTGGAAGCATTAATTTTCATTATTTGGTTGTCTTCTTGATTTTAATCAATTTAAGTGTAATTTCAATTAATCAATTATTTTACCTGACATTAATTGATGTAATCATGCAGCTGTGTCCAGGAAATAGCTGATTTTTAGTTCTCTGAAGTGGGAGAAGTGTGAAATCTCATTGGATAATTGTACTTGTTTGGAATGGAGGTGAGAGATCATATTGGTTATATACATCAAGATTGGGGGAGGGGCATTCTGTTGGAAGATTATGTGCAAAAGGATGGAGGGAGAAGGCATCTCTTTGAAAGAATACATACATCAGGTTGAGGTACATTTTCCATATTTTTGTTGGTACTTCTGTTGTATTATTTCAACCTTTTAATCTAATTTTGTATCATTAAACATACATTTGAGCTTCCTCTAGTATAGTAGTAACTTTGGTCCTAGTAGCCATGTGGTAAGACAACCTTCATTAGTATTTGATGCTCATGGAACAACACAATATGACATTTTTTAGAGCTCAAAATTAGCATAAAGCTTGTTGGTTTTAGGTTCAGCCTGACCATGAAGGGGCACTTGGTTTGTTAGTTGATAATCCAGGTAGTTGCTTGAAATGTCATTGTTATATAAAATAATAGTTTTTCTTTCCTAGACACTGGCTTTTTAAAAATACCGTATTTTTTGGAATATAAGATGCAC